GGAGCATTGATGGTATCGAGTGGCATCCGCATGTCTGTAACGATAATATGTGCATAGACGAGTACTAGACAGTGATAACGAGGCTAGTTCCTCAGAACAACAGATAGCAATGAATAAGTTGCGTTACCTTGGGCACGTACTACTAATGCCTGGTCACCTCTTAGGTAGTAACACCTTGTTTAGTCTGCCAGATATATGGTGGCGGAAGGCTCGAGGTAGACAAAAGTTGACTTGGCAGCGGGAACTGAATTCATTAACGACCAAACTGGGTGCCGTCGGTCTGTCTCGCTTACCGGGCTGGAGTCCACGTGACCCGCCTTGGGCTCGGCTTGAGACATTACAGGACATGGCTGGCAGCCGACACCAGTGCCGCGTCTGCTGTCATCTGTTCAGCGCCTCTACTGTTGTTCAACGACCATCATCCTTTTTGTCATCTTCCTTACATGATGTAAAATCCTTGTCACCATATGTGAAGCTATCGTCGTGGATCTTATCTCTCAGCAGAGTCGATTTCCAATCTAAATCTACCATTCGTTAAATATGCACTCGACCCGGGCGGTCTTTCCCCCCGAGATTCCTTTTCATAGAAACCATCCACCACACTGGCTATTATTTATTCTACTCAGATCTAGATCACATACGAAAAGCTAGTTTAGCCTGCTACGTGTCTCGGAACTCGTGCATCGCATACCTCCTCCGACCTACTGATAGGTTTTCGGATGTGTTCGTACGCAAACTTGATACCGCTGTCTCTAAACACAATCAGAAATTGTCGATCCTAATACGTGGATGTCAGAACGCGTCTCATGGTCCATATTTTGCTTTTGCTGTTGAACAAAGTTTCTCCCATAACAGCGGTTATTTCATCATGATTAAGTGTGGATGCGGGTCTAGTCAGAACATCCCAGTCAGTCAGAGCCTTTCATACGTAATCGTATTTCATTCCTCCCTGTGAGCCCATTATCTCTGTCAAAGGGACTATGGCCGACCTTGCGCTAGTTCTATACTTAATTTAACACCGGCTCCTCTCCATCTACAACTCTCGCAGACACCTGAATGGTTACGTGCACTTATGGTTATGCTTATTTGGCTTCCGATACCTATTTTTCGAAACGATATCTATTGTTTTTCGCCATCAGTTTCCAAAGCGTGTCCAGCATTCGTCCGAGCTTTTCTCCTCCAGGGGCGTACAGTCATTGTATCCTCGGTTGTTTGCACGTATGTGTGCACTGAATACCATCACTCTTTCTCCCCACTGTTAACCCGTTTCGTTTTTCACCCGAATATTTATTCAGCGTGGTTAATGGACTAGCTTGTTCTACTTTTTGAACTCTGCAAGCGTTTTCTTCCGTTCCGTGTGTAACAGCTTGTCCGCCATGTCCGAAAATGTGTCATTTATCTAATGGACTGATCAGGGCTTGGATCGGTTTCGCAAATGTGTTATGCTTCGTTGGAACAGTTGCCACAGGCTTAGTGTTCATCACCTATCGAGTTTCACTGGCGCGAGACTTACGTGGACAAACTGCGCTTAATTTTTTTTTGGTATGATAGGGTTTCTAAATCGACTGCTGCCGTTCTCATCGGGATGTTGTTTTGCGACATTCGCTGCTGAATTTTCGTGTATGTGGCTAAATTTTTTTATACATTTTTAGTGGCATTATTCTCATTCCCTAATGCTGCTCTTCTCCGCCGACCACTTGTTGATATCACGTTACAATACGCATACTTAACGTTTCCTTGGATACGGTTGTGATGCCGGAAACCCTTCAGAGTAGTTATCAGGAAAAATGGGGGCAACATACGACCGCATCGTGTTGGTTGGCGAATCAGCCACAGGTATTGTGATGTCAACAAGACACACATCCTGTTTCTATCTTCTCACAATAGACAGTCACTTCTTAGTAAACTAATTGACCTACTACTCCTATTGAGCGAAGTGAACCTGCGAAAGCAGCCGTCAACATGGTGGTTCGGTGTTGCTCTTCCGAATCCTGACACTCTATAACCGGTTTCGTCCTCCTTTGGACTCCTCAGATGGAGATAGCCTGAGCTGGTGTGGACCTCAAAGCCTAGTATTCAAAGGTTGACGTCTTCACCACTATGGCTCTAACATCCGTCAGCAACGCTTGGCACAGCGGTAAAGAATTCCAAGTGGCATTTGGTGTATCCGCTGTGTGGTTGGATTGCGAGGCGCAATCTCTATTCAGCCGTCAACGTGTTTCACTTGGGTTGCTTGCAGCCTGATTTCAAAGTTGGATTTTTCTCTTATTTACATCAAGTAAGTACCTCATTTTCTGCAGCTACCTTGTGCCCTGTTTGCAGATGACCTGCAGATTTGGGGACTACATGACACTCCCCATGATTGTGATGTACTTCAGCATTTCCTCGACCGGCTGTCCATGTAGTCTCCACATGTCAGTCTACCGGTCAACCAAGTTGCCGTTATTTCTGACATAAGGGAAGAGAGATCATGGGCGTAGGTACACCCTGGTCGGCCAACTGCTACATCTCGCTCCGTCTGTTGAGATTTGAAGGCTATGGATACAAACAAGCGATATGTAAGCGAGCTACACATACTTTGAGGGTTCAACCGCAACTTCTGCAATTGGTCTGAAGATTGCCACCCGCCTCTTCTCTTTCATCGCAAGATTAATGCTCGAGTACAACTCACCTGTCTATTGTCCGATCACACATAGAGATGCGTTGGCTGAACTAGGACCCAGAAGGATTTCATTCACGGCTAGTCAAACGACACGCAGCAGGCTTGTGGTTGACTTTACTTCAATCCCGGTTCTGTATCCACAGCTCTAGCGTAGGTTTCTTGGGTTTTCTGTCTCCCCTTATATCTCTTTCTTCTTTTGTTTGTGTCGATGATGATAAGTCAGAACAACCACCAGGTGACTGTAACCGAAAACCCTCGTGAGCACCGCTCAGCTCAAGTGCACAGCACAGTGAGTGAACTTATGATAAACGCCGTCTACACTTGCAGTATACTGCAACTGATAGGCCAAGGGGCACCAGGTGTTCCGACTGATATGCATCGCACCTACACGTCATATCCGAGCGGTTCAATTTTGCCTACTACCGCTATTGCTTGCAGTCTAAATATTCGCCATTCGACCGCAAACCACAATATTTTTGTGTCCAAGGGAAATTCTCTTCAATTCTGTCGGCGGTCTGTAGATGAATCGTGTGTGAGACTACCAAGTTGATCATACTCACTTACTGGACCGGCTTAACTACGCACACCCACTATTATGATTCACTTCCCAGCTAGAGAAGGACAATGAACTTCCGTTTTTTGAATGTTTTGTTACGACATCTAGCCCGTGGCTCACTTGAGAGAAGAGTCTTATTTAAAACAACCTGCGTGGGTCAGTACACGCGCCTTCTTAGTTTTGGGCCAACTTAGCACAACTGAAATCTTGTGCGTTGCATACACTATGGTGCCGCAAGAATTTGCAGCCCAGAAACGCTAGAAACTTGCTTCTACGGAGCAACGGGTATATTGTTGCGTTTATCAAAAACATTCCACTGTTTCTGATCAACCTAAAGCGGTACCGACCACCGTTATCCTTCAAAGGAATATATCACTTCTGAATTACTGAGCAAAGGACGGTCGCTGGCTGTGAAACCAAATATATCCGGCCGCTTCGATTCATGTCCTTTCCTAAACTCTTCGTTCTGAGCCCTCTGTTCTATAGCAGTTTAGCTGCACCTGTGGTGCGAGGCACCTTGTTCACACGATCAGGTATCTATCTCGGCGGATAGCAGAGCACTGCCCTGCCTCTTTGTAACATTGTGGCCCCATAGCCGAAGGGATCACAAGCCTGTTTCGTAATCTGGAGGTCACAGGTTCGAGGCTGTTTGGGGACCGGGCGACCCTACCAGCATTCGTAGCCCACGCGGGATTGGTGGTGCTTGCATAGCAGCGAAGCGTCAGTACGGTGTGCCGGCATACTGCTGATGTACTACATTGCACGGTGAAATATGTCCGCAGCTCCATCCTCCAACATCTGTTTACTACCAGCCATCCGATTCGTGCTGATGACGCATCCCGAGTAGTCCACACAGTGCTGAGACGCAACTTCAGACTCGAGAAGCGCTTGTTGACCACCTTTGTAACCATCACCATCGGAGTACTTCGGTCTGAGTTGTACAAGCATACACCACTGATACAAGCCCACATTTTGCTCTGGCCGTAATGAATTTCTGTTTATATTTGGTAGTGACTGCACTCGAAGGTGACCATGGTCTATCCAACGTCCAACACGCCCGTGCGTTATGCGTTTGTGCGTGCTTGCGCGTCTCATGGTGTCTAACACTTGACTGGATCGACATAATTGTTGCTCGACTTTGTTAACTCAATCAATCGCATCCAGAGCTTTCGTTGTTTTGTCACGTTTGGCTTAGGTTTGTAAGTTTATTTGCCTGAAGTGAATTGCCGAAATCAGTGCAACTCGCAAATTGTTATGCTTCAAAAGAAACGCGTCTACTCCCTTGACCTCTGTAATAATTGGTGTGGGCTACGTCGCACACAGATCCTCATTCGCTACGCAATCAACCATTTAGCATAGTTATTTGGACCACGGGGGTCATTAGCCTTGTAGTCTGTTTTCGTATCACTTTTTCGTCATGTGCTATCCTGATGACGGAATGTACTGTGGCTTGTCCGCTAAATTTTCTTTCTGAGACCGTGTGCATGTCTTGGGTGGAACGAAGCAGTGTCTTCACTGTTCATTCTTTCGCGATAGCATGCAGAGTTTTAACGATCTAATGCTACTGCTTTAACACGTGTGACGCGAGTATCTTGACGGTCGCTGTTCCCATTGTAGGACAGGAGTGTACCACCTTTTCATGTCTTTACTTATCCATTGTTTCACGTTTCCCCGGTCCCACCTCTCCAGACCAATATATTGTGTCTATTTTGTGACTTATCAGTGCACAAAAGGCGTTAATGCTACCACGTCGATGTTTTATCGCACACTGTCCCTCTTCAGCTGCTATATTAAAGTACGAGAACAATGTCATGAATATTCGTCAGTTCAATTGCTCCCCTCACCCCTATTGGCTACCCAATTTCATGGATGTCTTCACTTGGTCCCTGCCTTTTGTCGGTGAAAAGGGTGAGTTCCGTTCAACTTGTTTTTTTTTACTTGAACGCAAACCACTGTTATGTTGTTTTTGAAGAATAACATCTGGTCTTTTATGCAGTCACCCATCCTACGAGCTCCTATCACCTGTGTTGTATTACACACCAGTGACTCATAACCTTGTTTCCATCACTTACTGCAACGGTATACTATCGCCCGCTTGGCTACTCATGTCTGAGTATGTGAAAGACGGCTCCACCTGAACTGGGTGTCCTCTCTCTCTAATGTGTCTCACTGATCTCATGCAACCGGGGTTGGTTTTCCATGGTCACTGATCTCATCGGGTAACCGTTTGTTATCACAGCCTTTATGCCTACATTCCCGTCCCGCACACATCATCATCATCCTCATCGTCATCGTCATCACCATCATCGTCCTCCTCCTCATCATCATCTTCACCATCATCATCACCATCACCATCAGCAGCAGCATCTTCATCCTCATCATCGTCGTCATTATCATCATCCTCCTCCTCATCATCATCATCAATACACGTTAGCTGACGGTTAGGAAACACACCGCTGATGTGCCGCAAAAAAACGGTAAGCGCCTAAACATCAAAGACTACCAAAGTTAGGCAAATCAACATAATACTAAATATCTTATAGTGCATGCGGTTTGAGGTCGTTGTCGGAGGGGGAAGATGGGAGGGACAAATAGACTCACAACACAAACACCATTGGGGTCAGCTCTTCGCCATCACTCCAGGCGCACAAACAACGCACATCGCGGGAGTCGGTGTGTTGGCATACGCAGCACGTGACCCAGGCATCGGAACCTGGCGCGTGATATAACGGTGCTGAGCGCGCTTCACTCGTTCTTCCTGCACCAAATACGCGACGTCGAACATGCTCACTACTCATACGGTATTCCTACCAGACATGAGCCCAACAGCGAAGACATCGAGGATTGAACGTAACAAGCCACTTTACGTCTGTCGATCTGATAAGTCAGATTTCGCAACCGTACAGGAGAGTTGAACGGACGGCTGCATTGTAAACTCTGCCGTTCAGCGCGAAAGTGATGTTGCTTCGGCGCCCTTTGCGCACAATGCCATTCAAAGGGTTGATCTCCTCTGCGGTTCATTCAGATTCAGTTTATCTGCCCTGACCTTAGATATGATGGATATAGTTCTCTCCGTCTATGTTGCTCAAGTATTAATAATATTAATAGTAATAATACTAATAATTACCGATGCATGTGGGTAATTGAATTTGGAGAATCCGAGGATCCGAAATAATGGACCGAATGCGAAACGGCACGCATTAGGTTCTATTCTGCTGACTAACTAACTGTCGATTTGGCCATTCCCGAGTACGCATGCCAGAACGCAGGCACCACCAACTCTGTCTGGCCTTTCAGCACACTTTCTCCCGTTAGCTCGGGGTTTCAATTTTCTTGCCTCAGTATTGGCAGATAATACGCGTTTGGGCAGTCGACTGGTTGCCATACGGAGCCTATACTCGTACCATTCGAGTTCTGCAGACTCCTTCTAACTAGGCACTAGTGAGACTTCTATCAAATGAACACTATTCTATGCTCCCACAACATATGAGCAGCATTTCGCAGGCATCGATGGTCAAATCTGATCACTCTGTTAGCGGCCTCGATGCCAAAGTCATGTTTATGATACAGGCAATCACGCTGATCGCACCATTCAACGGCTTCACTTGCGCAGACACGGTGACCTCTCCAGAGTATCCACCCAGTTTACCCTCTACCACTCCGTGTCATTGGTTTAGCTGGTAATGCTCAGGTTGACACGTTTTCAGTTTTCCGTGCTTACCTGCTCAATCAACTTTTATCACTGGCGATAAGATTAGGCGTGGGTTTTAATCCACACAGTGCGCAGCGTCCATGTGAATGCCATTTCCCCACTTCCTGCCGTAATGCGTACGGTATTCCCCGGAAGATACACTAGCTTAGAAAACAATGGTCTCCCCCATCCTCTTCTTATCTTTGACCGATTTATTTGGCCTCATCGATGTATCGCATGGAGACCATCACCTATATTGCCTCCTCATACACAGCCGGAGTTGATTAAGCTACGTGATGTTATCGTCATGCCGTCGTTCCTTCTGATGGACCGTTAATTGCCACTCCAGTAAAAACCACCCCAACGACCACGTCGTTCTTCTGAATTGTGACAAGAAAGTAAACCATCATCTTCGCCGTGCATCAGTCCATTTCATCAAACACCGGATTAGTGTTCAACGGTGACTGACGCTGCCTCGACATTAGCAGTTATAATTCATTGTGGGATCATCTTTGTGATAGCCGACCACCGTGCATGCTCGTATGCCATTGAAATCCTTACTAGAGTAAAAGACCTGTTTAGTCCCACTCAACTGGATTGATGCAGAGTTCTCCATGACCCTCGTTTGGTGTCTCAGTTCCATCTGACCTATGGAATTGTTCACTATGGCCGATGTGAAATTGGCACCTTGACACTCGATTTGCCACCTCCACAGACTTGCTCTGTTAGTTTCAGGGTGTAAGCAGTACACCGGTACATCGTATCGACTATTTGCTGCCACTCGACCACCAACAGTCACTTCCGGGCTATGGATACTTTGAATTCACTCTCTCCTTTGCAGACTTGAACCAACCGTCCATAAACTAGTTTAACCGCACTGGTTAACAACAGTGGTAGATGTGCGCTTCGGATATTCTAGGCTCAAAGTACCGATACTGAGCGTGGCCAACAAGCCGCCGGTTCTCAACTTCACTGGTGGATAGCCTCTTGAACCTGTCCACCGTTTTACTTCAAAATGACTTGGTGCACTGGTAGCTCGGGTTGATCGTTCCTGAGTTCACTTGTTCGCCGAACTTCAGGATTAGGATGCAAACATTTCATCACCAAACGAGGTGACTTCGTCAGTGCGCTGCTGCGTCCAATGTAATCCGCTGACTTGTTCGTCGATTTGTACTCGAGCAGCAAGTGATTTTTGAACTGACCTGCTCGATCTGTGTCCCGTGACCTTCACCGATCTGCCCAACTCTGATAGACACGGGCGATCCGTGGGATGGTTGTGCCCCGGCTGTTGCTGATGTTGATGGCTCGTGGAGCTGTGGAGCCGTCTCAAGCACCTAACAATGGAATCACAGCACTCTATACATAGTGTGCAGAAATTTCTGGAGAGGCTCAAAGGTATACGAGTCGATCATGATGAGATAATGGTATCGTTCGACGTGACCGCACTCTTTATGTCTCTCAATTTACAGACCGCAAAGCAAGCAATCACGGAACGGCTGGACCAGAATGAGCAAACTATCGGAGAGCTGACGACTGAAAATCTTTGCAAGTTACTTGACCTATGCCTCGCGATCTACTTTGATTTTGTTTGACAGATCTATGAGCAGGTGGAAGGATCGCCGATGGGATCCTGTGTCAGGGCTCGTTGCAGAGATAGTAATGCAGAAACGAAGAGAACGCACTGCTTATAATCAACCCAAAGTTGTGGATCCGACACATCGATGATACATTCGTGATACTGAAACCTAGTCAAGTAGAGGCTGCATACCAGTTACTCAATAACACCATTGAAGACATTCATTTTACGGCGGAATCAGAGATAGTTAACCAGCTCCCATTCTTGGATGTGTTAGTCACCAGGACGATTGACGGGGAGTTATAAACATCGGTTTACTGGAAAGGAACACACACCGACCAAATTCTAAACTACTCCAGCAGTCACGCGAAATGTCACAAAATAAGCTGCGTGCGAACTCTCCTTCATACAATTGCAGCACATTGCAGCACTCTTGAGGCAAAACGAAAAGAAGTGATATCTGTTCAGATCATTCCATCTAAATGGATATCCATATAACTTCGTCCGGCGATGTCTAAACAACAAAGCTACGATCCCTCAGCCTGCTCAAATGACAACAAAAAGAATCGTTCTACCCTGACACCCCATGACCGGTTTCGTCCTCCTTTGGACTCATCAGATGGAGATAGCCTGAGCTGGGGTGGACCTCGGGGCGTAGTGTTCAAAGGTTGACGCCGTGATCACTATGGCTCTGAATAGTGATTGCGAGTCGCAATCCAAACACACAGCGAGTACACCAAATGCCACCTGGAACTCTTTACCGCTGTGCCAAGCGTTGCTCGCGGACCTAGGAGCCATAGTGATCACGGCGTCAACCTTTGAACACTACGCCCCGAGGTCCACCCCAGCTCAGGCTATCTCCATCTGATGAGTCCAAAGGAGGACGAAACCGGTCATGGGGTGTCAGGGTTGGAAGGAGCAACACCTAACCACCAATTCGGTTACGGTCCTTGTGATCGTAATGACCGAGGTCTACTTCAGGACCGAGGTCTGAATAGAGATTGCGAGTCGCAATCCAAACACACAGCGAGTACACCAAATGCCACCTGGAATCGTTCTACCCGATGTAAAGAACATCTCCGAGATGACAGCAAGATTATTCAAACAGCACGGTCTTACAGTGGCCCACAAGCCAACTGCCACATTGAGGAGAACTCTGTCAAATCTCAAAGCTAGACCCGGAACACACGAAAGACGAAGTGTTGTTTACAAGATACGATATCAAGATTGTGATAAAAACTATGTAGGTCAGACAGGAAGACGACTGTCAACAAGAATAAAAGAGCATAAGAGAGCTTGTAAGAACCATTACGCTCTCTCACTGGTTTCAATACATACAGACGAAGAAGGACATCACTTCGATTGGAACAACACAGAGGTCCTAGCAAAAGGAGAGACACGAAAAGGAAGAGAGTTCCTCTAAGCATGGTACTCGACGCAGCATTCACATCCAGTGTACCAAACGTTAAAACACCTTAAAAACTGTCGTGGTCAGCTAAACGTGCCATCAACAACATATCAGCAACAGCCGGGGCACAACCATCCCACGGACCGCCCGTGACTATCAGAGTTGGGCAGACCGGTGAAGGTCACGGAACGCAGATCGGGGAGGTCAGCTAAAAGGTCACTTGCTGCTCGATT